ATATTATCAAATCTTTATCAGTTGCATGCGCATTTAGATGATAAAATCTTAGTTATTAGAATGTATAAAGATTTATCAAATTTATTGTAATACGGAGATAAATTTGATCTAACAATTATTCTACAATTTTCTTTACTTTTGTTTCAAGTTTCTATTTATAATAAAATAAAAGTAATCAAGAAGATGCTAAAAGTTAATAAAACCATTTTTCTCGTTTCTCATATTTTTTTGGATCTCAAACTTTTATTTATTTATTTAAATTTTTTGATAACTACAAATTATTGGTTATAGAATTTATGTGTATAATTACTAATGCTTGATTATTACAAACAAAAAATATATAAATTATTAAATATCAAAATTGATATAGAAAGGAGTCAATGCCAGTTATTCGTGCAAAAACATGTATTGAAATGTTATTTTAATACATGTTTTTGATCTTTTATATTTTAATTTTGATATTTAATTATCGGAGCTTTTACAATTTTATAAATTATTGAATTTATCTGTGGTAGGTTTAAATATCTTTGTTAAATTTATTTACAAGAAATTGAGGCTAATTATGATTGAAATAAAGCGGAATAAAAATTTTTTCAGAATCTTTGCTATAAAAATTTGGTTTTGCTTCTTTCGTAATTGGAAGTGCTTCAGTAATTAAAAATAACACAGGAGAATTATCTTTGACGAAAAGATAGTGCATTGCAAATTTTTATGTATATAAGGCTATGAATAGAATTATTTGCTATATGGTTTAATGATACAAAGAAGCAAATGGAAATGAGTATTATTTACAAAAAGCAATCGTATTTCTCAATTTTTTACTCTTGTCATATTGTTATGAAAAAATGTCTCTTTTTGCTTTTTTGTCCGTTCATCAGGAACGCTGCGTCGTTTCCAATTGAAGCGACAGAAACGCATTTTTCACCAATTTTCTTATATCATCGCTATCGCGGCCGACCTATTCATACTCCTTCCTCTCTTAACAGCTAACTTCAATATTCATGAAAATATAAATATAAATAAAAATATAGCATCGATATATATGAATATGAATGCCGATGCGTAAATATTCATAGGATTGGGTATTACACTCGAATAGAGAACTCGCGTAAGGCAGAGTGAAAAGGGGAGAAGGGAGACGAGAGAGCTTCAGGTTGAAACTACACCGGGCGGCCTCAAAGGGGCGCTCTCCAATTCGCCACCGTTATCGACAACGTAGTCACAGCTATAAACGGCGCCGTAAGCCATCTCGCCGGTAGCTACGTAGCTACCAACGAAACCGGGAACTCCGCACGGCAACCAAAATTGCTCGCTAATGTCATAATTATATATATTGCGTTGTGCTTAAAGACGAGAAGTACCGCGACGCCGCTATTGTGCACCCTTTGAAGGGACCGCTTAATTTATTCGCAAGTAACGTAGCACACTAAACGGCCGCGTAGGATATATAACAGAATCGAGACTTGTTATCTAATAGCGACGTCGTCTGGTATGCTGTAGAAGATGATGCATAGACAAATATAATCGATACAAGAAGTGCTTCATAAACGAACTAATCGATGCACGATTTAGATCTCTCGAGACATTGACATGTATTTATAAATAACTTCAGCATGTGTACGCGCGCGTATAAGCGAAGGACGGTCAGTCAATTGCTTAGCCCTTCAATTTTCACTTATACGTCTCCTACAACCTTTGTACCTGTCTTTCGAAGACTAACTTTGACCTTTGAGACTGTTCAGGCTAAGACGTCTTGTGACAGCTCAAAGATGAGGTCAAGTAAGTTCTCGAGGGTAAAGGGTAGTTTGAAGCACTCTAAGTTATTACAATAGAGAAGTTAAATTTATTGGAAGAGTGATGTAGGGAGTTTAATACTTTAGATATTAATAGCCTTTATCTAAGAAATTTATAATATATTATTTGGAGAAAATCTGTACGTGCAATTAATTAATATAATATGCATTTATAAATATAATTAATTTATTCAAAATTATTAATGCTTAAGAAATCTATATTAAAGAATTTAGATTTAGAATAGTTATAAAAAGGAAGTAGGATGAGTTACTATAATGCTTTACAAAGATATTAATTAATTTTATTAAGATTAGAAGTTTTATAGAAGATTAGGAGTTTTATATAAATTATATGTGTAGGAAAATAAATATATTCCTTTAGATTTATGATACTTGTCATCTCTACGTTAATGTTCGTTCCTTTACAGTATACATAAATTTCATAATTGCTATGCGCTGTGCTATTAACGCACGCGCACACATTATGCAGGTTTAAGTCAGTCACCTCAATGGCAATCGATGGGACCGCGAGATTTCTAACGGTAAGATTTATGCACCTGCTTCGCGTACGAGGAAAAGGTTTTCACGCGCACGCAATAGTTTAATTGGCATTCGCGCGATCTAACACGCTTATCAGACTCCTTTAATTGTACATACGATGCGATACGTACTAAACTGTCTGACGGTAATAAAAACGATATCGAAAGTTTTGCTCGAGGGGAGCAATAACTTTTACGGAAGAAAATCAAGTGGTATTGATACGGTTTGTCTATCTCTCGGAAAGTTTTTAAATTTCCGACGGATAAAACTCGCATTAAATGGAGAAAAAAAATTACGATATATAGTAAGAGAACTTAAAGTTTTATAATTTCTCATTTATTTTTTATATTTTTCATATATGAACAATTACAGTTGAAAAATGATTTATTTAGTAAATAATCAAAACACAAAAATTACTATAATATTCATTTATTTTATCTACGATGAAAGAAAATTTCAGAGTTGTTATCTAGAAATTCTTATTGTTAAACTTTTGCAAAAATTATTTATCGACATTTTGCAAAAACTCAGACTATCTTTTCCTTCATAAATAAAGACTTATTGCTGGGTTAAATGGGAAAAAACTCTTTTCACGAAATTGTGCGGATTCGCAACTTCAAGCAGCCAGCGTGCCTTCTTAAAGCGGTGGAATCGGTTAATTACATTTTCTACGAGGCCACGTCTAGACGGAATGCAATTTCGATTCGGCGGTTCCGGCAACCGCAACGATCGGGTGCCTTAAAACGGCGATTGATCTTCGAGCGGAAAAGCGGAACGCCGAAACACGGGAATCAGCAAGCGTATCGCCGTATCTCTTTTGCGCCATTTCAGGCAAGCATTTAGCAAATTTACATTAAATACCAGAAAGACAATAATAGTCATAGTAGATTTCCGAAAGATATTAACAGTTTATCTTTAATTAAAATTTTGCTGTTTTGCAAACGTACTCGAGTACTTGCTGAACTCAGAATATCAAGATTATTTTGCTTTCTCAATGGATCTTGGTCTTCAGAATACGAAATTAGCATTCCTGAAACAAGTTATTATCTCGAAGAGCGACTGTAAAACAATTTTGCTGCGTTAATTGCAAGTCGAAAAACTAAATAAGATCGGGCATATAATCTGCATTTTTCTTTTATGTAAATCTTAACGTTACAATGTTATATTAATTTATCTACATTTGTAATTGCAAAGAAATATAGTGTTAGTTGAAAAATATCCAGCGTTAATCTTGCGATATCTAGCACTTATGTAATAAATTGTAAATCTGCAATTAGCTTAGTCAGTTTAGGATTTATAAAAGTATGCACAGAGTGAAAAGTTAATTTCTAAATTACAGTTGTACATTTTACGTTTATCACAATTTTATTTATTACTTTGTTTCTAAGATTTTTAAAAATCTCTCTTAATCTTGAATACTTTTCTTTCTTAATACTTTGAATACTTTGAATTAATTATTATTTTTAAAATGATTATTTGTGAATTAAATATACATGTGCGCAATATACGAGTTCAAGCATTTGTTAGCTTTTTTTGTTTATTAATTTTTTTTCTTTTTGCACGATGACACTTGCGTGTAACGAGTATCTAAAACGCGACTTTTAGGTCGCATCGAAGGAATCGTTCGGCTCAATAACATTGCTGCGCGGTGTGTGGGCACAGCGGCGCAGCGGACCTCCATCGTGGGGCCCAGGGCCCTAAAAGAAAGGGAGAGCAAGGGAGCGGCCTCACACGGGGCTCCGGCTGGACCGGCGTGAGTCTCGACGCGAGGAGGTCTCAATCTCACGGGATACGCCGCGAGGCTCGATGTGTATACATACATACATACAGGGTGGTCCGATCGACTTCACCACCTAAAATAACTCGTGCGTTTGATTCGTCCAGGAAGAGGCGTTCGGACGAGAGCCAGTCAAGTCATGATCGTTGTTAACGGAGGCGATATCGCGTGTATTTTTTATCTATTTATGGAAGAAACGGATCAAGAATAACGATTTTTTAATGGTTGTCCAATTAGGCCCAGATGAGAATAAGATCGAAACGATTACAAGTAGTTCACCCTGTAGACTCGCATATTTTATATAGATACATATATGCAAGATATACGATGTCGGAAAGGGAAGAAGAGAGAGAAGGCCAGGTCGAATCGTTACCGGTCGATTTTACCGTCATGATTAATCGGCACCGCCTACTTATCGTGTTAGATTTAGACGGCGGAGCCGCAGGGGCGACCGGGTCTTGTATTTCGGGCAACACACAAAGGGTCCCGTGCGCCTGATTCATTGGACTGCGAAGGATGCTCGACGTATCGACTCTGAACATTCTCGGTCTAGACTTTTCCTCGTTCCTTTTATCTTTTTCGCAAAAATTGTCTTTGACCGTGTCACGAACGCTCAAGATTACCATAAATCTAGAGAACCGTAACTCAAGAGATTGTCCGAGAAATCTGCAAAATTTATGAGAATAGGCAGAAATGACCCAAAGAATTTTAACCGGCAATATTTATAGATGTTTTAATCTTTTGCTTTGTAACAGCAACACGATTTTGAAAAGTAGATAATAACGCAACGCATAGTCTGATGATTCATTCGAAATTTATTTATAACATGTATAATTTTTTTTTTATATTTTGTTTTAATATAATAACATCATTATTTATTTTGATTTCAGTTTCTTCGTGTGCTCGTTTGGATCTTTAAAATAAGAATCTTGACTGTATTCAATTGGCAAGGTTCCCAATGTTGCTGCTGTGAGTAACTTTGCGTCGTACTCATTATATATCGCCATATTTACGTCGCTCGTTAATGAACGATGTTCTACGCGTTGTGTGCGGTCTTTATCGTGTAATCTAAACTGTGTGTCGGATTATGTTTCACACTTGCCAAAAACGATTCGTATGTACAATTAAGTATTGAAGATGCCAAATCGCGTGACATTTAATATCATATAAATCGCGCAATCGTCGAGAGTGCTAGTGCGCGTTTGAATCTCACGTTGGCCTTGTTTCGCGTTTTATAATCTGGAGAGTAAACAGCCGAATTACGTATTATTATAGTTAATTATTCGTTCATTTAAGCGTATTGTATCGTATGAATCGTAAATTGTGCATTGGAATTTCATATCGGTGTCTTTCGCGCGTTCTAACCTCCAAAAGTGAAAAGTTAAATACTCCGTGAACAAGTGATTTGTTTTTAACCTTGCAAAAATGAACGCGGTGTTTAAATATCTATCGGGAATGTCGAATTATATTTCGCGCGATTATAGTAATTTATTATTCACACGGATACACACATATTTCGTAAATGTCAATAATGCCGAATAAATCGCCGGTCAGTGGTTGTTTAATGTACTCGCGAAATTGTGTGATTAATGGACTTTGATGACTTTGCGTCGCAACACGTCACGAATGCAGCTTTAGTAGCAGAGGATGGCTCGTCTACCTGGTGAGTTAATTAATTTATTACATATTTGCGCGAGTATGTTCAAAGAATGTGCTTCTACTCGATAGCCGCAAGAAGCGATACGTTCTCTTTTCCGAGATGAAAGATATGAAATAGAAGAAGCGGCAGGAGATCGTTTGCAAGAGAATCGAGAATACGTCGGGAAGTAAAAATGCTGGTAAAATATCGAAGACGCGCGCGTCGTCGGAGCCAAAATCCGAATCATTAATCACCGTGTTCTCTGCTCGATGTACCGATTCTCTTCCCTCTCACTCCCTCTGTCTTTTCTTTCTCTCTTCCGTGTTCCTCCGTTCTCTTTATTCGATCAGTGCGGCTCGCAGGGAAACGTCTTAGAGCCGATAGCCCGGTGAATGATGTAGTCGTCGGATCGTGCCCGGCATTCGTCCTTTCGCCTTCCGTTCCGCGAGAAATCCTGCAAAAGGAACTTCTGCCGAGATTTGCCGCCCGTCTGGTGATCCCGGCTTCTTCCGACGAGTTTTCACCCTTTCTCAGTGCACGTCGCAAGGAGGAAACTCATTACAAAAACTTGTCGAGTTACTCGTTCCGGAGTCGTGACATACTCCGTCGAATTTAACTGCATCGCAATAATGCACGGATTTACTGATCTATCATAAAACGCATATTCAGATTAAAGCGCTTTCTTTTTACGACCGTTGATCATTTTTATGTTAAAAAGGCTAAGAACAATCGTAAATGGCTAATTTCATAATTTCTAATTCTTGAGTAGTAACTAATTTGCCCTAATTTCATATTTAGTAAAACCTTAAAAATTGACATCTATACACTTGCACATTATTTATGATAATGTGATGATGTCATTTATCTTTGCATGTACAACAAAGAATATTTCTATAATATTGGAGGGTTTGAAAATATACGCAGAGAGCTTTGAACTTGCCTGATAAATGAGCTGCGAAGGATCAGCCCTTTGCTCGACCATAATGAGTCACGCTCATGCCACGTAACAGCGATCGCATCTTACCCTTTCAGTGGCAAAGGTCGCACTGCTATGTTTAGAATATGCAAAAAATGTATGCATGTAATATGTACCGTGTTTATATACAGGTACGCGAACTTTTCATACGTTTTTTCCAGTCGTCTCGTGGCGAAACTCTTGATAAAGTGATAAATGATTTTTTAATGCCGCGCATAGAAATTACTCTAGCGTCGCGCCTCGTATGTTAATTACACTCTTTATTAATCTCGATCCATTACACTTTATTAAAATTGCTTGTTTCGCGACAACCGCAATCGCGCGGTGTTGGACGATTTTTAACTCGCCCCATAAAGATTATCATGGTATTATTTCGACGTGGCAATTACCGTCAGCCTTTTTATAAATCTCAATCGATGACTCCACACTTTTCTCGCGATAAATTGCGATTAAAGCGAACATGTCGATGACCGAAAATATCTCAATTGATGACTGCAGTAACAATTTTTTTTCACATACCAAGAAAGCTTGCGTGGAACAATTATAATTTTTAATTTTTTATTTTGAAGATGTATATTTTTTTAATTTCTAATTACATTCTGACTGTCTAGAAAGTTAGAATGTGTCTTAATCAGAGTTTGGAATTGAGATTGTTGCACCTCGCGGGTGTTATTTCGCTGTTCGCCACTTCTCGGTTACATATCGGCATTCTCGTCAAACGACGAATTGTCACACGATAGGTGTATGCGGCGGTCATCGCGACGCGTCGATAGTGTCGAGACGCTCGCCACGAATTGTTTGAAATAACAGTCGATGTTCATAACAACTCGTATGAGTTTTTTTTTTATCCGGGAGCGGGAATTTGAGCGGGAATTATGGACGCGGTAATATCGCAGTCGTGTAGAAGTCTTTTGATTGCCTTTGGTGCCTTTAATACCGCGAGATATAAAACTCCACCTCTCTTCTTCCGTGCCACCCGTTAAGAGCACCGCCGCCCGCTCTTAACTGGAAGCGTTCGCGTGACTCCCGCCGCACTGCCTTGCGCGTCCGGAATTACTTTATTTCAGTGGGCGTTTGTTCGTGTTCCTTAAAAAAGCATCTCTGTGCCGAAATTAACGGTCGAGCACCCGTTCCACTTACCGCTGTTCATGTTCCGGAGAGAGAAAGAAAAGGGACTCGCGTATCCAATGATCTCCGTACTCTGAATACGGTATCGCTGTTCTAGCAATAAGAGAACCTTTTCATTTTTCATTTCACCGTTTCTTTGAGAAAGTGTAATCAACGTTATCTGATTGGCCATTAAAGTGCCAGTAACCGCACGTATACCGTACAAACGATCTATCTCAGTAGCAATATTTTGTACACTGTTAGCGACATTTGTTGAGATCTTAATTATTTAAAAGCTTTTAGCGCGTACGTTTATACGCGAACGTATTTTATTTGTAGGGCGATATAACTTGATTGATTTCTCACGCGGATAATAGAAATTCTCCCTTTCTGAAATTGTTTTTATTTTTCTGCCACTCATTGTCAGTCAAGTGACAAACTGATCGTATTTTATTCTTCAACGAAAAAAATTGTCTTCAAAGGCAAAATTGAAAAGTCACACAATTGACAGAAGTCACTGTCCCCGCATGTGTATCCCGCATGGAATTCGCGTGAGTTCTTCCACGCGATAAAGCTACCGTTATCAACGCGCAGCGCACAGAGCCGCGATTTAGCCTCTACGCGAAATGCTGGAAAATGGATGTGAGAGGGAGCGAGAGAAGCACCCTTTTAATTTCCGTCGAGAATGTCATTTCGCACGGCGGTGACGGCGGCGGAGCCGTACGAATACACACACGGTCCTTTGTAATGCACGTCTTCGCGGAGATTAAATAGACACTCGAAGCAGCACATCTCACGCGCGAGCGCCCGAATTTATTTTCCATCAGTGCGACGATCTCGTTTTACCTTTTGACAGCTGATGTTTGTATCACCTTACAGAAAAACGATAATTATTTCAAACATAAGGGCAGGAAGTTATCCGCGCTTTTACCGTACGAGCGTAACGTTGCAGAGGACTTTTTTCAAGCGCTCTCCTGTCGCCACCGACTCGTCTGTTTAATTTATTCTCTCTGCCAGCAGCGCATAAAAGCGCGGCTCGTCTTTCCGCGGTGATCTCTTCTTTTCAAAGAGTAAAAATCGTCTGCGCGCTGTATCGCTGTGTTTGTAAAGACATTTTTATATTACACGATCTTTTTAAATACATTTGCGATGCTGTCATGATACGATTTTTTTTTTCTACTTTAATACGAGGCTGGATATATAGAAACTGAATAATTCAAACACAAAATCTGAAATTTAAAATCGACTAAAAAGTATGTACATTATGGTTAAATATGAATCTTGGCAATTTTATGGCTATTTTTAAATGTGTAATCCAGTTTGTTTAAAAATTGATATTACGTTTTTTTCAACATTAAATTACAGATATATTTTTTTATTCTGATATATATTTAAATAAAGATCTGCATTGCGATAATATTTTATTTAACATTTAATACATTTTATACAACTTTTCTACTTACTCGAGCGAGTTATGCAATATTGCAAACTGTATTACACACTATTACATACAGTAGTGTTTTGCCAGCTATAAAATGGATGTCTCGCGCGTTACGTATAAACTCACGGGAGTGTCGTTTAAAGTGTTCGCGCGATATTCGGATGCGCTCGCGAGCAATGCGAGCGTGATCGTATCGTATTAATCGTGTTTTCGTGAACGCGTGTGAGTGTTATGAAAGAGTAGAACCATTGTGGAAAGGAGAGGAGATCCAGAGAACATCGTCGGAACAGCATTGCGGTAAGTAAATTATTGCAAAAAATACAGATTTTTTGGTGACAGTGGAAAGGCTAATATGAGTGCGGAGCTGTCATTTTTAAGCTATTACTTGTTATTTATCAAATCGATGATAACGAAGAGATTTTATTTAAGAGTAAAAATGTAAAGATTATAAATTTTAGATTATGCGCAAAAATAATATAATATAAAAATAATATTTTAAATGGAGTTCCATAAAATTCGATGGCTTTAATAATAAGTTTGAATTTAAAAAAATTCTGCTATTTTTGCGTTTTTGAAGCTTAAATTTTTTTATTTATTTTTAATCTAGCTTCAATAAATGATAGTTCCGATAATAGATACTTATATGCGACACACACTTCAGCATGACATGTTATCACCCACGATTGACTTATTTCTCGCACATTTATCTCAAATTTGTTCAGCTTATATTATTTGTATATAGATATTTGACATGATGATTTACCTCTTAATTATACATATGTACTACTTTCAAAAATTTTTGATGAATATTACACATCTCTAATCAATCTAATTTAATTATTACAATGTTGATATAAATTGATCTTACAAGATATTCAAAAGTTGCGTAGTATAAACACACCTTGCGCAAGTTAATAACAGCGGTTCTTTGCTTGTGAATAATTCATTTTTCTTTGATCACACAATTTTAAAATATCGCGAGGATGCGCGCGTTGCATTTGTAAGCAATGTCAGGCCCAAAATCGATAGGGTTATGTCGTATCGTGTCGTTGATTCTACGCGGTGACATCAAACGCACGTTGCACCGCAGAATCTTCTTTTCCACCCGTAATTCCGAGATCAATAATGCGCATAAATATTGACGCTCACATTTCAGAAAAAGCACAGATGTTTGACGTTTAATTTTTCGCGCGGAAAAAGCGGCGTTACGAATAAATCCGAGGAATTTGAAATATTTCTAAAATACTATTTATAAGTTCGGTATTGAATTTTGAAGAAGAGCTATTTATTTTTTGGAATTACTTATTTTTTACGAATTTTATTATATATAAATGTATAAGGTGTAATAAAATTGACCTCACAAAATTTTTTATGCGAAGATTGACAGTTCGATTAGTATCTTGATGCGAAGGTTATATATTGATCAGGCAAGGCTTCACTTAGTGATCGGATCCTGATGAGTACATCCGATTGAGTCCCGAGTGGAAATATTAATAAGGC